GATTTTTGGCTCGTATCCAGTTTGTACGTTACACAATAGACCATGAAGTTCATTATGCTATGTACAACATTGTTACATCAAATCCTTCTTATTCTTTTTAGTTTTTCTTAAATAGGCATAGCCATCTACCTCTTCTCAGGCTCCAGCTGAAAATCAGCGCTGTGGCTCTGCCCAGCATTAAGCTGACCTGGCTAGCCTTTTCGGCTATTAATTATGTACTTAGTAATACATATATATTTTTTGGTTATTTATTTTTAGTGGTTTATTCTTTAATTGAAATTTAGGTTAATATTATTATTATTTGTATATTTTATTTGTAATAGCCGAATAAATGTTTCTTTCTTTCTTTCTTTACAAAAATTCGCCTCCATCCCGTTCCACCGCAATATAAATTAAGCCTTACTTTTTTACATAACGCTACGTATTAGAGACTTAAAACAATCTGGCAACGTTCAGTCGCGAATGTCACTCGAACTGTTATTAAAAATAGTGAAAGGTCGCTAATTGTCCCGCTCGCACCGTTCCTAATGAATAAAAGACAGCTGCAGCTTGATTTTGATTGCCTCTCCCGATCGGAAACTGCGTCATTTCCGAATCGAGGCACATAACTGCGATTCACAACTGGCCGATCGGAAACTTTTGACATTTCTAATCGGAACAATAGTTGATTTAACATGTGGGAATCAGGTTCATCTTGCTTAGAAACCCTTCTGATTTCGAGACTACCCGATCGGATCGATTCCGATCGAACCCGGGACCTCAGAGATGGCGACTCTGAAAACCGGTGTGCAAGCCACTCGACCACAGAGGTGAAATTTACATAGTTCATGTTGTATTTGGAAATGTGAATCATTCGTTTTCGTCAAAATTGTAAGACGTCCATTAATATTGTCAGGACTGATATTCATTTTGTCTCTTTCACATTTAGAAAGAAAGAAAGAAAATACATTTATTTGTTTACCACAATGACACCACAAAAGACAAAAGAAAAAAAAAAGAGAAAACGGAACAAAACAGAACTAAAACAAAACACGATCAAAACATTCAACGTAAAACAAATATACAGGGTGTTTGGAAGGTCGATGCAAAGCTTTAATGTGAAGGTAGCATAGACTATTTAGAAGCATTTTAGGTAGGGTTGTCTAAGACGAAGTCTAAAATTTTTTTTTTAATTTAAATTTTAAGATTTTTTGAGAAAAAGCCAATAATTTTAGAGGTATGGGCTAATAAAGACCAGCTCAAATAATAACTCAATTATTTTTTATTTTATTTCAATAAAGTAATGTGCACACAGTCTAATAAAACATGTTCTAAGCATCTGTATCGTGGAAAATATTTTTTACAGGCTTTTAAAGTTTACGAAAATGATGAATAATTAACGAAACCGGTTTTTTGACGTCATTTAAAAAAAAAATGGCAGGTGGTGTTTTTGTTCAAACACTTTTAAAAACATGCTTGGTTATTGCTGTTTCTTTTAAGGTATCATTTATGCAGATACGTAATAAATTATTGAAATTGGGACCTACAAACCAAATTGAGAAAGAAAATTATTTTTCAAACCAGTCGAATAAAACATAATTTTTAGTCATTTAACTTATTTTTTAGTTGGAAATGATAACTGAGAGCAACTCTAACACTTATTGCGCACGTGTACAATAATCGTAAGGTATCGCCAAATAACAGCCAATGCGCACGGTGCGAGTAGGACGGCAATAAATTGGGGTTTTCCAGGCAGGTGAATAGGGGATGGCGAACATTGCTAAAACGACGTTTCTTTAGCCAGGAGTAGGGAGAGTATTAAGGGAGTCGTCACATTTTTAGTTAGTCAAGTGACAACTGCCCGTGTTACTAGACGTTATTTCCGTATTCGTGATATTTCACCTTCACCGTGTTCAGCTGTAGCCCTTTGCGCTCCTGCACGTGTTGATTTTAGACTATTATCTATTCACTTGCGTTGAATTGACTATGGCTAATTTTCAAATGCGGAATATGCGGATATCGTATTTATGTATGGAAGAGCAGACGGCAATGTATCTTTGGCGCGGCGAATGTATCAAGAGCGCTATCCGAATCGCAGGGTGCCGCACGTTAGAGTGTTTTACAACACATTTCGTCGTCTTTCTGAAAGTGGAATACACCGTGCGGAACCTGGAGTCAACCCTGGTAGACACAGTACTAGCACCGAGGAAGATATTTTGGCAACATTTGAAGCGGATCCTGGAACAAGCGTCAGAGTAATAGCTCGAAATCTAAACATTTCCCAATGGAAAGTGTGGAAAACACTGAACTCTAATAATAGGTATCCGTTCCACGGAACAGGTGTGCAAGGTCTGGAAGAGCAAGATCCTCACAGAAGGATTGAATTCTGCCGTTGGCTCCTTAATGGAGACATTGAAAATGCGTGGTTCCTGAAATCAATCTTGTGGACGGATGAAAGTAAATTTTCTAGGGAGGGAATTACAAATTTTCACAATTTACATCAATGGGCCAATAAGGATAATAATCCGCACTGGAAAAAGCAGGTGACTTTCCAAAGGAAATTCTCTGTCAATGTTTGGGCGGGAGTAATTGGCAGAACTTTGATTGGTCCGCACTTCTTACCGGATAATCTGAATGGTGATAATTATTTAGAATTTCTGCAAAACGACTTTCCAGCGCTTGCAGAGGAATCTGGTGCCCCAATATTTGATACCGACCGGGAAATCATCTTCCAGCAAGCAAGACGGCTGTCCAGCGCATTGGACATTAAATGTAAGAGAACACTTACATAATTCCTTCCCTCAAAGCTGGATCGGCAGAGATGGGCCCATCCCTTGGCCCGCTCGGTCACCGGACCTGACCCCGATGGACTTTTTTGTGTGGGGTCGGGCCAAAGAACTAGTGTACACGAGTGTGGAAATAAACACTAAAGAAGAATTAATACAAAGAATTAATTCGGCTTTTGCTACCATGAAGCTGGAAATGATGTTGAAAACAACAACTACAGAAATAAGAAAACGTGCCCGTGCTTGTGTTAGAAATCGCGGCGGTCATTTTGAACATCAATAAATAACACATGCTTTCAGTTAAAATATTGTTTTATTACTCTGCCTTCAAAATTAAATACGCCTTTAATTTGGTTAAAAGGACCTAATTTTAAGAATTTGTAAGATATCTGCATAAATGATACCTTAAAAGAAACAGCAATAACCAAGCATGTTTTTAAAAGTGTTTGAACAAAAACACCACCTGCCGTTTTTTTTTAAATGACGTAAAAAAACCGGTTTCGTTAATTATTCATCATTTTCGTAAACTTTAAAAGCCTGTAAAAAATATTTCCCACGATACAGATGCTTAAAACATGTTTTATTAGACTGTGTGCACATTACTTTATTGAAATAAAATGAAAAATAATTGAGTTATTATTTGAGCTGGTCTTTATTAGCCCATACCTCTAAAATTATTGGCTTTTTCTCAAAAAATCTTAAAATTTAAATTAAAAAAAATGTTTAGACTTCGTCTTAGACAACCCTACCTAAAATGCTTCTAAATAGTCTATACTATCTTCACATTAAGGCTTTGCATCGACCTTCCAAACACCCTGTATAATTACGAAACAAAAACACAAACAAACACAAAATAAAAATGTATATACAAAAATGTGATAAAATTAAAACGTGAACTATTCACACAAATAATATAAAAGAAGACTATATATATTGAGATACCTTGTGTGGTGCCAGCCGCGGTAACAAAAGGGTGACAAACTCAGTATTTGCTGGAAAACGCAACGCGTTCCCAGCACTGATTTTCAGTTAAGACCCTAAGTGAGGTCACGGAACAACATATGCAAGCATACTTTGGTACTTGAATATAACAGTAAAATAATTATATATACGTACATATTAAAACGGATGTAACGTAACAGACATTTCCTTCGTATAGGTTGACAAGTTATATTGTTTTCATCACTATTGCTCGCAAGCAGTATAATGTAAAGCGCAGGCCACACCGCGAACGAAACTAAGCTAACTTAGCTTAACTCGTGTACCCCCGTGTACGTATCCATAGTGTAAATACATAAATAGCACGTCACTACATACTACCTATTTTCTTAGCTTAGTTTTGCATGCAACTACGTGAGCTAAGTTAGCTAGCTTGGCTTAGCCTCGTTCGCGGTGTGCCCTGCGCTTAGCTATTAAGAATCTGTGGTATAACTTGCAGCATAACGACGGTATTTTTATCATGCGGCCCTAGGATGGAATGGTTCTTATAATTTTGACGCTCCCGCCGTGCGCCGCCCTCTAGGGGATGTTTGTCTTGTCTAGGGTATGTGTGTTTAAAAAAAGTCTAAAGGGCACACTCTAGGTAACCCTTAGGGGATGGAAAAAAATAAAGAGGTAACCATGTCATAAATGAAGTTTTTATGACATTCATGCGTAAACTCACCACCCACACCACTGTCGGCGGTGAATTCGCGGAAAGTAGGGCGAAGGGAGATGCAGTACGACGTTTGAACGTCTGCGATACAGCTACAAAGATATAAACATTTGCACAATGTTAGATATTGGCCAAAAAACTTTCGATACTTCCACAAATGGTGAATTCAAGTATCTTTTTTCGCTTCACAAAAAAGTAATATCTAAGTCCACCATCCTTGTCGTATAAAAGATCTAAAGCACTGAACACCTATAAATACCTCTGGCGCAATCGCGAGAATTCTCGAACATTCTCGCGAATTCTCGCGCGTTGTCGAATGAGGCGAAACGTCGCCTTAAGTTCCGCGGCAATGTCAAATGAGCCTATTATTTGGCCGGATGCAGAACCTACTTAATTTGTTTTTTAAATTTCTATTACTATATAATTAACTCTTTTAAAGGTAGGACAAGCAAAGACAACTATATAGTAATATCCTTTTAACTGATTCGTAAGTCTGCGATGTTATTCGAGATATAGATCGCAAAAGGTTATAAATAAAACATCAGTTTTTTCACAAAATTATATTTTGTGTGATAACACCTGCTACATGTTTCTTACTGTTATTGTATTTACAATATTGTATATTCTACACATTAGTAACAATTAACATCCATAACCTTAGAGGAGCAGATCTTACAAATAAATTACTGATTCGAGTGAAGGTGCCACCGGCAGACCAAACAACCAGACAAGCTACCAAACTGCACAAATTTTCTCAAATTCTAACGAGATCTTACAAAAGACATATAAAGGCTAATTATAAAATAAAAGTGCCACACATTACAAAATAACTTTCTCACTCAATCTACAAAGGCCATCATAGACAAAAAACTCGTATTAATAAAGTTTTCAAGTCCAGTATTGAGTATCAAGTCGGTATCACCAGTATTCTGATGAAGTCATCTCCACTTTATTAAGACTGTATAACAATCTTGAGGTATAGCGTAAATGCTAAATACATGTAATCAATGAGTAACCATTAATGTGCACTGAGTAATATTTATTAATAAAAACAATTAAAATCTGAATATCAACCCTGCACTTGAAATGGATTTATTAATACGGGTCTTGATATCCTGGACGACGTACTTATCCACGACATAAAGAAGTGGTTTCAGGTGTTGTACGTGTCCATGGACAGAAACAGTTATACATAGTCAGTCGTCTATTTAGGCCCAAAGGTTGGATAGTTCTGCCAGCGCACCCTCTAACTTGTCGGCGTTGGCGTCCTGTCGCCGCAAGGCTCCACGCTCACAACTTCCCTACGCGCATCACTCCATCTCTTAACACAGATGCCCGTTAAAACCTAAGGGAAACGTGCGGAGTTAAAACATAAACATTACCACTACGCGTGCGCAACTAAACGCATCTAACCTAACTAAACGTAATCGCAAGTGTTAATAACATTTGGCAATAAATTACTGGGATAACACCAAAATAATGCTTAGGGCGAAGCGTAGAAACAAACTATCGTTATAAAAAACTTAAATTCTATCAGTGTAAAAGAATACAAAATATAAAAATAACCCTCGCTTAGGCCGACGTGTCCGTGGCCCTTAGATTCCTGCTACGACACTATCACATTGATCAAATCAAATGCTATCATAAAAAACTAATTATATCAACTCTATGTACAGATTTGTGTTAGTAAGCAATGCATTTACAATATCTTACACCGGGGTAAGCAGACGGGACGAGAAGAGGCACTTCCAAGAACAGATTAGACAAAACTAATACTTATATTAAAATTATATTAAATTGTGTTCACTGTACAAGCCACTGTATTGTTTACACATTGTGAGTTTCAAACAATTAATTCAACAGGATATACATATAAAACGTGAAACCTCCAAATAAATCTTTACATCAGAAATAATGTGGTTCAAAAAACATTGCACTTCACGTCTACATAACCGAAGACTTACACTTATTTCTTTGGAAATCAAGAATATATTAATTTATTATGAATTAAGCGCACACTACAATCGACTGCCCAATCATTAGATTATCACAGTGCTTTCACCAAGTGCATCAGTTACGTGTCACCAATTTCACACATGCAAAGTCTACCAGAGTAATACATTTATTGCACTAAAATTATGCGACTTTTCACTGACATAGTCATTATTATATAAAAGTTTTAAATACATTATCTGCAATTTTGTACTTTATTCAGCTTCTATAATGGGTACTGCTTTTCCCCAATGAGAAACCAGTTACCTAATATATAATACAAAACAACAAGCTGCCACTGTTAAGATTATTGCATAAGAGTAATACATGGTGCGGAGGGCTAAGGCAACTCAAGTGGTGTCAATGTTATTATCAATTGTTATATACACTCTAATACTTAAGCAATTTTATTTGTACTATGCCTTAATCACTGCGAATATGATACACTCTTTGTTTTTGGTCGAGGACGCCTAGGTCAGGATCAAAACCAATTTAGCCCCAAAAATGAATAAATTAGTTTTGGAATGTCAAGTGAGTATTATTGTACAATTTTAAAAACAAACCGGCACTTGACTTCACTGTATAAATCCACAAATTTAAAGTTAAAAGGGTCACTGCACTTACACTTAACACTTTTTGTCACACAATCACTGTGTTTTTGGTTTTGGCTACCGACGCATCGTAGAGTTCAAAGTTTGCATGGTCAGGGGCGGAGGTGGCGGGTTGATGTAGCTGTAGGCATAAACGTTCGGCTGCTGGGCCCTCGGGTCGGGGCTAGGGTACTGCACTGTAGGCTGGACGTTCATCATCTGGACGGGCAGGTTGTTGAACTGTTGCTGCGGCGGAACGCGGTATCCGTTCAGGCCGTACTGGCTAATGATAGAGTGCGAGTTCAGGTTGGGCGACATCCGAGACCCTGGAGCTGCCATTTGCATATGTTGCATCGGACTTAAGTTGCCTGTAAGTGTTCAATAAGAATGTGTTAAACGGTTAAAAAATTCAATCACGCCATCTTCCTATCTCCATTATAAAGCCCCGATCACCAAATCCCCTGTCGAGAGTGGTTTTAGTGAATGGTTTAATGCTGTCAATGTCATAGACCTGTTTTAATACTATTCTTAGATAGAACTCACTGGGTGTATTCCTCGCGTTGCGCGGAGAGTCGAGCTGATTGGGTGAGGCGTAGTATTTGGGCGCCGTATGGTAGTGCGCCGGCGGCGTACCTGCCGCTGCAGCGTACTGCAAACGAGATTAACTCAGATATAATACTCGGTGTACTAAAAACCATAGTCCTATCACCTTGGTTTGTAAGAGCCCAGGAAGTACATAACTATCTTGAAATCATTTAATTAAGACCAACTTCGCGGTTGGCAGGTTCCGCGGCTGAGAATGCCACGAAACTAAAAGATGCTAAATATTCTGCCTTGGAGCCAATGTACCACTTCCCTCCGGTCGCGGTCGAGACTTTGGGGCTCTGGGTTCGGAAGCTCAGGAGTTGTTTAAAGAGTTGGGTCGTGAGTTTGAGTCGACTCAGAGACTGGGGCTGCGATCACCGCTCTGTGTCGTGGTTTTGTTCAACAAGTGTCCATTACCGTTCAGCGAGGCAATGCTGCCAGTATAGTGGGAAGTTTTCGGCCGGGCACGATACAGGGCGGGATTTTTTTTAGGTTAGATTAGTTTTTAAAGTTAAAAATCTCTTGTAAATCCCAATTTTTTTTTGTACCTATTGACAAAGCCCAATGCTGTTCTTTAACTGAAGAAATATTACAGTAACAGTTGTATTGAAATAAATTAATATTTAGACTCAAACAGGAGATACTGACATGCAAGGAAAAGTAAGGTCACGACTATCAACATACAAATGTATTGACAAGATCTCTGGGTGATGAAAAGCATCTGGGTGGTTCGAGTTGTTTGAAAATGTCCAGTGGTTTGAAATATCAAGGATACTAGAAATTTGAATCAGTGGAATACAATCAGCCAAGTAATGGCTAAGGAAGAAAAGTCACAGGACTCTTTATTCGAAACTACACTAAACTATATCACGGATCTGTTTATGGTTCAAAGACTGATCGCAGATGGTTAGAAAAAAAAAGATATACATACTTAATACATCAACTAACATTACTTAAAACTTAATTTCTATTCAATTTTTAGCATAAAGTATGCACTAGTGATGCAACAGACCTTTGCTTTCGCAACAGCGGAAGTTCCGCACGTTTTCCCACATCTGTTTCCGTTTCTGCTTCCGCAACTTTTATAACGGCACTTTAATCGGAAGTTTACAACAACGAATCAGGCGCTAGCGCGATTTGCTTGGCGGCGGAGCGCGCGAGTTTCATGTTGTTAATTGTAATTATGAAACCAAAAACAAGCCCTGTTTGGAACAATTTCTTAGAGATTTTATAGAGTTTATACTTCCGCTTCCACTTCCTTTTCCACTAAGATTTACTTTTCAGATCTGTTTCCGACATTTCCGTTGCATTACTAGTATGAATTCATTACTACAATTGTGAAGAAACATGGTAATTTATTCTATAATGTTGATACGTAATGTAGTGTACCTGCGTGGTCTGTGCGGGCGGCGTATGCGGCGGCGGGTGGTGCTGTGGCGCGTCGGCCATCTGCTGCAACTTGGCTAACGAGCAAGAGGGCGCCCAGCTCGATCCCGAGCCCGCCCCCACAGCACCCACGCCCACACCAACGCCGTGATATTGCTGCTGCTGCTGGAACGACAGGTAGCCTCCCTGGTACCCGCCGCCGCCGCCTGCGCTCCCGCCTTGCATCACTGCACCGCCTGCAATGTTAATTTAACCTTTCAGTGCGGTACGCGTCTATTGGTTATACCAATCGACCAGCTTCGAACATTACTAAGATCCCTTCGGTCATTTTTCATTTTCAAGCTATAGACAATCGTGGACAATCAATCAAATATACAAACACAATACACAATACACAATTTTAAAAATCGTTATGCGTGTACATGGACCATACATATAACTGCCTCTGTGGCCTAACGGTTACCATGCCGGACTGCCACGCAGAGGTCCCAGGTTCGATTCCCGGGCCGGGAGAAATATTTGTATGACCTACATTTGTTTCTCTCGTGAGTTTGGGTCTAATTTGTGGTTGTCTATATGTGTGTCCATGGCACCCGGGACACAGGGTTTCCCTAGTGCGGGGCTATGTTGAGTGTGTGTGTTATTATTATTATACACAAATTACACTTAGGGTCGTATTCCAGAACCCTACTCAATACTCAAGTCAGGACTTGAGTATTGCAGTGACTACTGAAAATCATACTCAAGTCCTTGTCGTTAGGATCGTTTTTCCAGTGCTTGAAATCATACTCAAGTCTGCTCAAATCCTGACTTGAGCATTGAGTAGAGTTCTGGAATACACTGGCAACACAAGCACTGCACTGGCAACACAAGCACTGAAAATACGACCCTAATGGCAGGGACTTGAGTATGATTTCTAGTGCTTTGAATCATACTCAAGTCCTGACTTAAGCATTGAGTAGAGTTCTGGAATACGACCCTTAGACACTTACTATATTTATTATATTGTGTTTTCCAATAAGTACATAACAATTTTGTTTTTCAATGAAACACGGAATTATTGCTATATCAAACTGAAATTTATTCCAGGTGCAGTACACCTGTTACATTTAACAATGGAATTCGATCTTGTTCATATGACCACAGCGAGCACGTCTGCAGTGTTCAATTCATTGGAACCAATTTTCCACCGCTCTTCCACACATATCGGCCGTAACGTTGGCAATTACGCGTTTGATATTGTTGTCGAGCTCATTTAACGTTGTTGGTTTGTTGGCATAAACCAACGACTAGATCATAGATAAAACAACGTTAGATCGCATGAGCGAGGTGGCCATTCGACCGGACCATTTCGCGAGATTACACGAATAAATTTCAACTCAATGTCTCAATTAGTGTTATAGTGAAATACAAAATTGTTTTAACTGCCTCTGTGGCCGAATGGTTACCATTCCGGACTGCCGCGCAGAGGTCCCAAGTTCGATTCCCGGGCCGGGAGAAACAATTGTATGACCTACATTTATTTCTCTCGTGAGTTTGGGTGTAATTTGTTGTTGTTTATGTGTGTGTCCATGGCACCCGTGACACAGGGTTTCCCTATTGCGGGGCTATGTTGAGTGTGTGCGTTATTATTATTATTTGTTTTGGCCTTATTGGGAAACCCCTTTAGGTTAGTTAAAATGTTGCATGAAGATTCCTTATTGTATTTCTATTTTTGAGGATCTGTCTTTCGGTATAATTATTTAATTTAGTTTTAAGCCGTTGGTCTTCCTATTAGACAAATGAACAAATAGCAATAACAACGATCAAACACATCAGTTTGAGAAAACCTGACACAAAACCCTTGCCTGCCCTTTAGAACACCGTATGTGAATGATAGTAAATCACGTTGATTGGAAAATTCTGCTAGGGAGGCTTTATGTCCAGCCATAGAATTCCGCTAGGTTCCACAGTACTATACGATTTTATCTCGATACATCCATCTCAATGTTGGTTCTGTTTCTACCAAAACTTTCGCTTCATTTAAAAGTGTGTAATCAGGACCGTATCGGAAGCATTCGGTTAATTCTAGACACGGGGCAGACAAAGTTCAGATCCCGCACCCTTAATAATAAAGTGACAATTCGAAATTAAATTCGTTTTATAAAGCTGACTAAATAGATAAAAAATACGGAGTAAAACGAAAATACATATTACCGTTTTTCATTTTAAATATCAATTTCGTAATATTTGACACCAGTCAAACGATATAGCTACAGAACACTATACATTTTTTAATTTATTATCAGGGACCAGAATCTATAGAAGATAGGTCTAATAATACGTCTGTAGTGATTCCGAGACTGGATCGACTAAGACTTTGTAACAATGGGGCAAACAATTATTGGTTGTATTGTTTGGTTGTACTTATCATTTTCTGACACGTATAAGTCATAATTACGTCAATTTTTAATGTACCTAAGTGATTTCCCGAATCCCAAACAGGTCCAGGAGCTAAAAAATATTGTCGTAAGGCAGTCTCCAATTTCTGTCTATGTTCCTTGAAGTTTAGGTAAAAAAAACTTCTACCTATTCCGATCCCTGTTTATTAGTGAGGTTGCGACACGTTCACCCGTTACGACCTAAACGTACCGTGCGGTTAAAGACGAAGCGACCCTATCGGAAGACGCGGAGGTTAGGTTCCAGCGGGCGGAGACGCAAAGCTAAAATGATAAATCGCACTCACCGACGGAGAAGAAGGGCGAACACGTACCGTGCGACTGGTGCGTGGGCGGCGTAGCGCGGTGGCGTGCGGGGGGCGTGGCGGCGCCGCGCAGGGCGCCCTTGCCGTCCGCCGCCGCGGGGTTGGGCGTCGCGTTCCTGCAAGCACGGCACGGTCAGCGCTGGTGAGGGAGGTAGGGAGGGAGGTAGGGGAGGGGCGGGGTGGGGGCGCACCTGTTCCGGTTGGTGATCTTCTGCTGCTTGGGCTGGCTCTGGCTCTGGCTCTGGCCCTGGCCCTGCGCCTGCCCCTGGCCCTGGCCCTGGCCGGCCATGGCGGGCAGGTGCAGCGCGTGCGCGTGCGAGTACTGCGCGTGCGCGTGGTGCGAGTGGTGCGCGTGCGGGCTGGGCGAAGGGTGCGGCATGTGCAGCATGGAGCACGGCGACGCCAGGTCCGAGCCGATGCTGCTGGGCGACTCCAGGCCCAGCTGCGACACGTCCAGCTCGCACGCGGGGTACTGCACCGAGTGCACCGAGTTGCTGGTCGAGTCGGGCGTGTACACGCCCATGGACTGCAGCGCCGGGCTCATGGCGGCGCCGTCGCAGCTCTCCTCCTTGCCGTCCTTGTCCTCCTTCTTGGCGTGCTGCCGCGCCTTCTTCTCGATGTCGCTCTTGTCCTGCGCGCACGGCCCGTTCTGGCCGAAGGGCGTCTTGCAGCCGGGCGACGTCAGCACCTGCGGACTCTGCTGCCGGTACTCGGCGCAGCTGGTCGCCACCTCCTGCTGCTTGCTGTTCGCCTGCTGCTGCAGCATCTGCTTCATTTGCGCTTCGTTCCGCTGTTGAGCCTGAGATTTCTTCCCCTCGCACTGCGTTTGACACGCCGTCGTCGTCTTCGATTGTTTAGCGGGCTTGCACTCGTTCTTTTGGGAGCAATCTGAAGATTTGGAAGTTGGAGTTTTCGTCTCCTTAAAATGCGGGAGACTGGTGGTGGCATAGAGAGCGCCGCTTGCCGACAAAGCGCCGTAGGCGATGTTATGGAAATCTTTTTGATCGTATTTAGGATGTAACTTTTGAGGCGACTTTTGCATTTGTTCCAGATGAGGAAGATTAAAACCTTGTGTAAATTTGTCTAAGTAATTTTTGTCCGTATTTTTCATATCCAAGAACCTATTTTCCCAACTTCCCTGTATTCTAGTATGGTCCCACGGCGCCCACTGATACTGCGCGTGTGTTGTGTGGTAATTGGGTATTTGATTCATGGCGTAGTCAGCTTTAGGCATCAATTCATTGTCGTACTTGAATTTGGGTATCATTTTGTTCAAGTCGTTTTGATCAGGTTTCAAACTTAACTGTGATGAGCAAGTTTTGTCGTGTTTAACTGATACGTTTTTTGACTCGCATTTGGCGGCATTCGATTTCTCCTTCTTATAAAAATCTTGTTTTTTTGGTGCTTCATTAGTAGTTTTAGTTTCTACTTTGCTCGTTACAGCAGTGGTGTTAATTACATTAGTAGGCACTGACGTTTCAGGTTTTCGTCCACTGGTCTGGGTGTTTTGTTCCGGAAAAAACATCTTCGGTTCGGGTGTACTCCGAGGAGTATCATTTTTGCCTTGCTTCTTTTCCGGTTTCTCCAATTTACTGTGAGCTGAGTTGACTCTTACGTCACGAAGTTTGCTCTTTTCTCTAGGTTTCGAATTCGGGTCACTCTTCTCCTGGTTGTTTTGGCCTTGGTTTGCAACAACATGCATTGACCCGCCAAGTGAATTTTGGATGCTATTCACGAAACTCGGATCCAAGTCAGTTCTTTCCAATCCTAAATTGACAGCGGCATTAGCACTTTGACACCGCGGTAAAAAATTTATGTCTGTCACATTAGGCACTTTCGGTATTACTGGGTTAATTACTGGAGATGATATAGGATGTGGAACTTCTAATTTAGCTGGTGGTTTGTTAATAACTGGTATATCAGGTATGTTGTTTATAACTCGATTGGTTTCACTGGTTTTCTGAACCTTTTCGGTCTGCACTGCTTGTGATTCTTTGCTCACATTCACTCTGTGATTCATGAATGAATGATGGCTTGGATTTATTTGCTGTATTGTCATTGAATTCACTACAGGCGCCAATGAAGGAGTTTGATACGATTGCAAGTTAGGTTCTATAACGTTTCTCGTAATAACAATTTCATCTTTTCTTATGTTCAGATTATCATTTCTATAAGGCATATCACTTTCCTTGCTAACAATTGGTGTGTGCGTTCTATTTCTAAGATCCGTTTCCTCGAATGTGTCTATTTTAGGCATTTCAGGTTTTTTAACATTGCTCGCCATATCTCTTTGGGGTTCTAAACTTTGTATTAACGTATCAATTTTAGTTGGCGATTTTTTCTCTGCAGCTTTATCATCAACATTTTGGTGTTGTATTACAGTTTCCTTCCTGACCTCAGATTTCTTTGGATCACTAACTTCTGCGTACGCCTTATCTGGTGTCTTTTGTTTTGTAGAATCATTAATAATAGACTTATCGTTTTTCTTGGGTGATATTACTTGCGGAGAGTTAGCGTTATCAGACTCCCCTTCGACAACTATCGTTTCGATCTGATTTATTCTGGGTACTATAAGATCAGCTGACGACTTAACTGTATTCACTTCCTCCTGAACTTTGGGATCGAGGACTATGTGAGCATTCTCTGTAGAAACTACGGGTATGACTTTAGAAGGACTTTCATTTTCATCAATTTCTTTGGGTTTGTTTTCATTGTTCTTGCCCGCCGGAGCCACTGCATTATGTTTAGGTGATGGCAGAGGGCAACTCTGGCTGTTGTTGTCATCAGATTCAGAGATAATGATAGTGTCTTTATCATCAAGTACTTTTAAATCGCCATTCCTTGTATCACATTTCATCTCCTCGGTTTCCTTGGGTGTCGATTCTGTTGTTTCTACATCGGTAGCAGAGGCTTGTGGTTTATCATCTACAACATTATCATGATTTTCTGGTTTGTCTGTTGCAGTCTCATTGATAACTTGATTCTTTTCAGCCACAGACTTTGGAGAATCCATGTGAATACTGTCAAGTTCCATGTCACTAGTATGATTGTCTGTACTGTTTTCTTCGACATGTCGAGGCGTGGCAGGCTTGCTAGACACGCTTCTCTTGTCCTCGCCTTCTTCAACATCCATCTCGTCATCAGCTTCTCCTGAGGAATCTTCAGAACTTGCTTCTGAATTCTTAGCCTTCTCTTCCTGTTTCGCAACAGGTTTCTTTGACGAATTATTGTCTCCTTCGTTAAAAGACGCGTTAGCCTTTTCAGGGTCGTCCATTGAATCATCTGTTTTGTAATCATTTTCGATTTTACTCTCGTCCAACTTGGGTTTCTTAGCGGCTGGGGAACTCCTTCTAACAGTAGCTTTACGGACTTTCTGACGTTTCCTTCCTTTCCACAAAAGTTTCCGTTTTGTTTTACCTTTAGTCATTATTACAGGAGTTATGGCAGCCATGTCAGCGCTGTCTTGACTTTCTTGACTATCAGAAGCATACATAGTTTCTTTAACACTTGGTCTCCTGACTTCTTCATTGTCATTCTGAAGTGCGGCTCTCCTTGCGACGCTTCTTTGTCTTCTTGGTGTCTCCTCAGGTTTATCTTCAATCGATTCCGAAATTTTTCTGCTAGCATCTCGCTTTCTTTTTCTGCCGTCCACAATAGAAGTTGTTTGGTATGTCGTTTCACTGTATTTGAGCGGTCTAGTTCGTCTCCTACCTGACGATGTGACTTCCACTGGCTCATCTTGATTCTCTAGCTTGGGCTCAGCCTTTGTCTCAAGTTTTGGCTCGGGAATATCGGCTTCTGTCGCAGTATCTTCGCTCTCAGTCTTCATCTCCTCATTTTCTGTTTCCTGGTCCCCAGAATTCTCGTCTGGTGATCTGAACGGATTCACTGTCGGTGCTAACAGTGGAGTCCACCTTAGACATTCAGGATCTATTTCTAACCGCGGCCGACTTCTCACCTTCTTCATATGATTATCAACTTTTTTCCAGTCTATACAAAGTCCTAATTTCATTGATTCACTGTTTGGAAGATATCTTACAAAACCTAATAATTGAAACGTGCCTGCTATGTCATTCATATGCATTCCCGTTGTATGAGCTATGTCCTCAAATGTAAAAGGTTTATCTTTATAATCATAAAGAAATTCTAAGATAACAGATTTCCAATAAGCATGATATGATACTCTTCCAAGATCCGATAAAGGCTTTTCTGGTGTACCCGGTTGCCCTTCTTCTTTTGACAGTAAATAACCTGAAAAAAGGAGGGTTGTGTTTAGTATTGACCATAAACGTATGACACAATCAAAGTAAAATTGTGCAATAAAATCGTAATAGAGATTTCACCACTCACTAAAATGGATGAGAAACCGCCCGTAGCCCTGTCTCTGGTACTGCGGCATCGTCATAATGCAAGACACGTTGTATTTCTGCTGACAATGTTTCTCTTTCGAGAAATATCCTACTAGATGGCATCCCTTTGCATCATTCTTCGTTAGCACATAAAAGAGGAACGGTTCCACGTCGTAGTACAACGTTTTGTGGTCAAGGAATAGTTTTGCCAGAAGACAGAGGTTCTGACAGTATATCTTGTTCGCATTGCCATCCACCTCGAAGACGGATATGTCTCCGCAACGGTATATCTCAGTGGCCGGTGGATGCCGCCACATGCACTTGTCAAGATGTCTGATGAGCACAGCCCGACTCTTCGCATACTTGAGGCAGAACTCGCACAAAAACAATTTGGGTAGCCTGGAATAATGAGCAAACGGGAGATGTTACATACTGTGTCATGTTACGGAACCTCGTCGGACAACCAAGACACGAAATACATTAACATATTACCTCGCATACTCCTGCGGGAAAGGACTGGAGTACCAAGTCTCGATCTCCCACTGGCCGAACTCGATGGCGGATGGGCAACGCGCGGGCAGCGAAGGTGGCAGCAGCGGGGTTACGGACGAAGCTGGCGTTAAAGAGGCGGCGGGAGGCGCGACGGCCACCGGCAGCTCGTCTAGCGCCCCTGAGGCAGCGCGCGCCTGATTGAACAACTCCGCATCCGCTTCCGTCACGCCCGGCGGAAGTCTCTTCGCATCTGCAACCAAACGGAGCTGTAGTGTCCCGTCGCGGTCGTCAGCTAGCGTGCGTTAAGGCCGAACAGAAAAGGAAAAAGTAACAGAAGGGTTAAGAAAATAACATCGTTTGCACACGTCAGTAAATTAATACGTTTTCGAATCTTACGATTCGTTTTCGCACTAGAAAGATTTCAACACCTCAAGTTACCTGATCGCACTGAAAATTCACCTGCAAAACCACTCAGCGACAAAAATTTGATCGAAAGACACGAAAGGACAGGCGAAAGAAACCAAACGCAAAAAGCGACGTAACTAACGCTACGGCCCGAGGCGCCAGCGAAAGTGCATGTGTGGATACTGCCGATTCCCGAATAACAATTGAATTTGTCATCGGCGCTCGGCGTCCGCATGAAGCAAAACTAACGCAACGCGCCCACTCACCGCACCGAACAGACACAACGAGAACCGAGACGGAGCGCCGGCCAGCAATCAGAGCGAGCGAGACGGTGATCCACCAAACACTTTCGCCGCACCTCACGAACCCATCTTACCCGTCTGATTGGTGGCCGGGCGTCCGCCGCCGCCGCCGCCGCTCAGCGCGAGTCCGCGGCACAGTTTTTCCGCGTCCGCAACGCCGCGCGCGCCCAGCAGCTTGCCGGCCGCCGCGCTCCTAACCAGCTGCGACGCCGACAGTCGCGGCGGGGCCTCGGCGGCCCAAGGGGCGTCCGGCGCCGGCGCCTCTACCTGCGGCCGCTCTCTACTCGGACTGCGGCCGCGTCTATCGACCCTCGGCCGGCTCGGCTCCGGTGGCCGCGAGCGGCTGCGCTCCCTGAGATTGAACCTCGGCCGCGAAGGGCTCCTCTCCCTCGACTCGACTTTGGGCCGGGACGGACTCCGAGCTCGACTGGCGCTCCGCTCGCGCCGCAGCGACGCCTGGTACCTCCGGAACGTGCTCCGCGTCTCTTTCAGAACCTGGCGGTCCCGCTCGCTTTCCCGAACCTTCGGCGCCGGCCTATGCCGCGACTGCGACCGCGACGCCGTGCGCACCGAGTAAAACTCCGACAACCCATCGAACAACGTGGTGAGCAACCGATCGCTACATCTACTGCGCCTGCGCGAGCGGGGCGCCTCCTCGGGCGGCCGGGCGGGCTCGGGGGGCCGAGGCCTCTGCGGCTTCTGCGCCTGTTTCTGCGCCTCGGCCGCGAAGCCCCAGGCGCCGCCGGGCGCCGCGTCGGCGGCCAGCCGCTCGAACACCGTGGAGATGTGGAGCGGAGGCGAGGGGGGCGGGGGCGAGGGGGGCGGCGAGCCCGAGCCGGAGGAGCCGGGCTCGGAGGGCTCGGAGGGCAGGCGCAACTCCAGGCGCTGCACGCGCGTCACGCGCAGTTCGCCCCAGCGCGCGCGCGCGTCCCAGCCCTCCCACTCGGCCGACGAGCGCCGGCGCCGCCGCTTCACCAGGTTGAACGCGGAGAACCTGAAAAACTTCTGCTTCTCCTTCGACATTCTCTGTTCGGCCGGGAGGCGCGCGGGGGGCGCGAGGGCCGCGGGGGCCGGGGTCGCATTACCGTCGGAGGGCTCGTCGTCGGAGTCGGCGCGCCGCGGCGGCTTGGGCTTCCTCCCCTTGGGCGGGACCCCCGAGGCGGACCTGCACACGGAGCGGGCGTTAGCCGGGGGCGGCGCGGGGCGCGGGGCGCCGGCGGGGGCCACGTACTTCTTGTGCGGCATGGCGCGCGGGCACGCGTCGCAGCGCCACGGCAGGCGCGCGCACGCCGCGTGCGCCACGCGCGCGCAGCCCGCGCAGCCGGCGCAGCGCGCGGCCCAGCCCTCGCCGCGCGCGCACTGGCTGCACGACGCGCACTCGCCGCACGACCAGCGGCACGCCTGCGGAGCGCCGGACGTTAGTACGTGTCGAGGATTGGTGGTGCCGTTTATCTTGTACGGACAACGGCACATCAGGCTGCACAGTTTTGTTCCAAAACCGCCTCCAGTGCAACGGAACAAGATGCGTCAATGTGTGGCTCGATGTGCTGGCGTATGTACGTTCCACCTACAGCCTAGCTCGCCTAACACAAGTCCACGTAAAAATATTATTTCGCAGCTGACGCAATGATATGGTGCGACTGGTGTCAGCAAATCGACGTTAAAAGCCTATTTTGAATGTGTCAAATAATCTTTATTTCATATGTAAGCAAACCACACTTAAAAGTCATATTGATTTAACTCTACTGCTCATTCGTAAGGCATTCCCCTGAGCAGAATGAGCAAGAAACTCTTGGTGTTGCACTTTGTATTAGCAGCGATACAGTCGCTAGTCGTCTAACTATACACACACGCGCGATTTAAGCAGCGTTGCAAGTACTTGACTGCATCAATATATCAATTTTGGTTTATAGTGACTCAGTGCATGTGATGTGTCAATTTACGAAGATGTTACAATAGTTGTAATGCTACAATTTTATTTGTAAACAATCCTTGCATCTTATGGTAGTTTATAAGGCTGTTAGGAAATTCTGATTAAACATTTTTCAGTCAGGAATTTTTCAAAATTTTTTAGAAAAATACCAGTGCTATCGTAGAACAAACACAAAATTGGCTCATTGCATGCTAGCTACATGGTCACATTACTTTCTTACCAAATCTCAATTAATTTAGTGAAATAGTTCCCAAACTAGAGTGGTTTTAATACTAGAATAGATTTTTTTTTAAAGTATCAACATAGACATCAATGTTTATTTTAAAAGGGTTCTTACTATGTTCTCTATCCAAAAAAAATTTTTAATCACTAAATGGGCCAGCCTGTATTATACATTTAGTACTATTTTAAATTGGTAGTTCAAAATGTTGTCTATTATCTGTACATGCTTATATTTTACAATAAGTATACAGGTAATGCCTCACACAATACTTCATTCTGTTTAGCTCTTTCAGGCAGCCTGCCCCTAGACTTTGTTACTCATTCTTCTCATATTGCTCATTCGTAAGGCAGATTTGCCTTGCAAATGAGCAGTAGAGTTTAATCAGTTAAGACAATTTCAACTGTAATTTGCTTACCTATGATATAAAGATTATTTGACTTGGACAGTTTGTTTACATTTAGTTTATTACTTAAAATTTGTAGTATAATTAAAATCAGTAAAGCAATTATTTGAATAGAGAAGTGTTTTGGCAGAAAAGTTTTAAAAGTTGCAAGTAAAAATATGATCACTTTGTTTTGATTTTCTGCCTTTTATTTAGTCACTACGGGATTTCAGAAAGAGTTGTTTATTATTCACTCGATGTCTACATATAACTTAAAGTATAGTTAAGTACATGCTGCCTATTTAGATCTCTGTTCTACTGTACAGTTACTGCAGACTATTAAAAGGGCCTATAATACTTCCTTAACATTTTTTGTCCGCCTGTTCTGATACTTAATTTGTTAAAGAGGGCAAAAACTATTTTTATGAGAATTTTTTTTATGAGAATTTTTTTTATTTTTTTTTTATTTTGTTGAAATAATGCACACACTCAACATAGCCCCGCACTAGGGAAACCCTGTGTCGCGGGTGCCATGGACACACACATAGACAACCACAAATTACACCCAAACTCACGAGAGAAATAATTGTAGGCCATACAACTATTTCTCCCGGCCCGGGAATCTAACCTGGGACCTCTGCGTGGCCGTCTAACCGTAACCGAGGCAGTTATAATGAAATTAAAAATTGAAATGAATGAAATTGATCTAATTGCTGGTAATTATATGATTTTCACATAGGGGACTTCTGATTCTCAGTTTCAGATTGCTGTACTTCACCATCTAAAGGAAATTGATTTTTGCCTCAAAAATTTAATTTAGAAATTTACCCAATTATACCAGGTAGACTCCATAGCATTAGTAATAAAGCTAGTTTCCAATACTATAAAATGAAAATGGAACTTTGACAGAAGAAAAGCTACAACTAGGCAGACAGGATGTTTTAAATCAAACATACCTTTATAACAGAATGCGTGAGGTGTTCGAGGAGATCTAAGCAACTAGGATGTGCATAAGATTTACACTGGCTACAGCAGATGAGAGCCTCAGCCACACCCTGACGGTTTCTCACATCGGTGCCCAAACACTCGGTGCACACCGGAACTCCTCCTTGACTATGCTTCTGGAAAAAATATACAACATTCTTACACAAACTAGATACATCCCGAGTTCTTAGGTTTTCGCGATTGTTACACATAGGATAGGAAACTATTTTTCCTGATTTAAATCGCGTATATTTGTTTTCTCAAACAAACCGACATTTCAGGCCCTTTACAGGTCCCATGATCATGGTCGACTGAGGTGGTACAGTCTTCAACCAGTTATGTCTAATTTTAATAAACAAGTCTGCAGTCTGCGAGCATGTCATGGATAAACCTACACATTCAATGAAGTTTGACAAGTCCCAGGTCCTTGCAAAAGAAGTCCGTTATCTACCCAGGATGCTGTAAGAGGCCATCGAAATTAAAAAACATCCTAATTTCAACAGGGAAGATGGTTTCTCCGTACCACCAGTTTGGGATCCAGTATTTCCTCTGATGAAAAATCCCAAACAGACATAACACTGCAGTACTAATTAATGTTTTAGTTTATTCTAATTTTTATTATTAATCAATAATAAATTGAACTTAACAAAAATTCATTCAATAAAATAGTTTGTACAACTTAATGTAGTGTAAATTGGAATGTTTTCTTTGTAAAATTAAAAATAAGGTATTTAATTAATAATTATTGTCACTATAGTGAAAAAATAGGGTGGTTTGCATTAATATTAGACATAACTGGTTGAAGACTGAACCACCTCAGTCAACCGTTAATGGCATTGAGACAAACCCAAGTAGGGTTTAACGGTGTTTTACATTATTTATGTATAATTTTTTCTTAAAACAATAAAATAAATAATAAAAAAATAAATAAAAACCGCAGCCATGGGGGGCCTGTAAAGGGCCCGAAACGTCGGTTTGTTTGAAAAAACAAATATACGCGATTTAAATCCAGAAAAGTAGTTTCATTTCCTAGATACATCCCCTCGGAATCCCTTTCTACCGGACCTTTATACATTACTTTAAAATAATTCTATTGTAAATTCACATAACTGTTGCACATATAAAACATTTAAAAACTTTCATTTTTATAGTTTGGATGTTGTATGTCATATCAGCCCAAGATCCGCTCAAAAATTAATTGTAAGGAGTTTCCTATTCATTATTTTTCAAAGTTTGAATTGCAGATAGAAAGAGTAAGATTGATAGTTGCTTTGGTGTGAAATATGTATCACATCTAATACATTTTGGGTTTAATATGCACAAATGTCTAAAATGTAAATCAGAGTTGTAGCTGTTAGTAAAGCTTCAACTGCACATGATTATTATACCATAACATCATCCCCAATGATGTTATGTAAATTGTTAGTTGATAGGAAATTACATTTAAACCATTTCAGTGAAAGAGACAAAAGTAACTGCCTATGCAAAAATAAACAAAAAAATATAGCCAATTATAAGTCCATCCATTCATAGTAAATTCATTCATAAATGGAAGATTGAAAAGTTGTGCAAATATGATAAACAATTTCCAGCCAAAGGCAAAGGAATTTAATTCTAAAAATTACCTGCTCACTTGTAAACATAAATTGTGCTAAACTTGTAAAACAAAAACTTGTACCAATAAAGTAGAATGAATTGAAACCAATACTACTCAAGCAAACATAGAAGTTTCAAATGTTCAATCAAAATTTTCTAGTAACACACACTGTCTAATACAACAGAAATGTGTTATGTTTACAAGCTTATCATGGTTTCCCTATGTTTTATAGCTTTCCAACATTATGCAATATTTTTTATGAGAATTGTTCTGAACAATATAACAAAGATTGCTGTGGAGTTCGTTGACCTTGCTATTGAACTTCATTATCTATACCATAATTTCCCAAAGTGGACTCTACCCCGCCAGTGGGTGCTGAAGGGTCCTAGGGGAGTGGTAGGACTGTGGATACAATTGAGGAGTATTGATGCTGTCCAAGGGAAGCTACCACATTTGAAAAACAATACCTGAATTATCTACGTAAACTACACTACATATACATTTTCTTTTTCTCTTATTTTTTGGATTAATATAAAAAAATATATGTTTTTAATTATTTTTTGTGGTGGTGAAAATTGAATTCTTTTTACCTTACCTAAGTGGGCAATGCACCAAGTTTGGGAACCTATGAGGTATAATGATAAAATCTCATTTTAAATTTATATTAGTGCTTAATAAGCTATTAAGATGACTGTGATATAGAAGTACATTTAATGCACTTCATACATAAAGGCTAAATTATTGCAAAGTAAAAATTCTACATTGTTTAGTTTATGGTGATTATTGCTTTTGACAAAATGATGTCTGATAATGGAAGAAGAAAACCTACTGTACAATGCTAAATAACAGTGTAAAGAAAATACAATGTTGGTACTAATGCTTTGGACAATTATATGGATTTGTTAACAAAAGGAAGTGCCGGCTTGTTCACCTTTTCTGCTTGGTCCTGTGAAAGCTTTTTCTTTGGGGTCCTTTCTCCTGTACTAGTGAGGGGTCTATCTGTGGCCTTGTAAGCTCCCGCGTGATTGATCAAGAGACCCCGTGCCACCGCACGCTTCGCACCTGCACGTAATAAAGTCCGCACGTCTACGTCCGGTTCAACAGTCACTTGGTATGCTTGCCGCAAATGCTTTTCAATAGTTCTCAAAGTGGAGCCATCCCTCTCCCCCAACTCGCGCACTGCCTTAGCCACTGCCCGCGATACATCACAATCAGGCGATAACCGAAGAACCTTGCTCTGCAGTCCCCCAGGATCCTTGTAAGAACTCTGCCCCTTATTATACACTTTGAGCACGGCCCCCTCCCGCACTGCCCGCTCCAGTCGCTCGGAGACCACGTCCTCGTGATAATTGTGATGCTGTCTGATAGCGTGACAGATGCGCTCTACGCTCGGCCGCTGTTTCTGTGACCGTATCTTGTGAATAGCCTCGAGTATCCATCGCTTCCACACTTCTTTCCCCACGTCGTCCGGCTCGCTCATCTTCGTCGACGATTATTTAGTAAGCCCGTCGTCTGAATAACGGTACGGTTTTGGAGTTCGAGATGTGTCAACACCCATCATATTTTGGCGCCTCGAGCGAAATTCCATTTTATGAAATGGAACCTCGCCGGAAGCAGCCGGAGGGCCCAGCCGCGCACAGACGCCGGCTCACAACATGCCCTCGCGTTCCAACGATGACACATCGGGGCCCGCGAGCGGGTTTTGGCGGAGCGGCCATCCAATGGCGGCCATCTTGTAACGAGCTAAATTTACGTCGAACAAATACACGCGACGTAAATAATAACTCGTACTCCCGCTTTTAGAAACGTTGCAGTAATGTCGCCGACTAAAACTTTCCACTCGAACGGTAAACAAATCTGTTTTCCGAGAAAATTAAAATAAGGCTAATATATAATTGAGTCCTTTCCGGTTCTTTTTTCACAAAGCGCCTTCACTAAACTCAAAACACAGCACTGTAATGTTTACTGTTTTGGTATTCAAAGTTATCAATGTAATTTATATGTTGAAAAAACTGTCATATCATTGAAACAGTGAAAAATTTTCTTGAAAACATTCACAAAACACCAACAAAAGGCTCTTCAAAATGGCTATCAATCAGATTTCTTGCTATTTGAAAAAATAATTTTGATATCCTGTCCGTATTGCCATAATTTACATGGTTAATTAATTTTTTGCGTCAATCCAATAAGCGTTACTGTCTATGGAACATTAGAGTTGGAAAATCGGTATAACAGAAAAAAAAAACTGTATTATTTACGAGTGGCAATTCAAGGGTTGCTTTTTTTTTATATATTTGAAGCAAAGTCTATCATATTAAAAAGAGAACGATAACGTCCTTGTATTATAGATCTATTTCATTCTTACTTGTGGTAGTGCTGATAAACATTCTCAAAAAGCGAAGTATGCTAAATCAGCGCGTTTTTACGAAAAATATTTTAAACTGATTTTCTGTATGAACAACTTGATTTCTTCAATAATATCTTGGTTATTTTGAAAGTTTGCAGTGCTTGTAATTCATTAAAGCAGTGACTAACTACACCAATCCCTTGGAAAGAAGTTAATCAGTGTTGAAATTTGACACCCAACTTACCACCGGCAATAAGCATTTATTTTGTTTTACCTTCGAATTTATTAATGAAACATGAGGTAACTTTTGCAGCATTCATATTAGATGAAAGACCAATTTTGATGGCTGTTTTAGTATGGTAGAAAAGTCTAAATTTTCCGAGTGACTATATTTCGACTGAAAACAATATGAAAAGTTTATCAAGATACACGACAAAAACAAGCAGTCCGTTAAAAAACCTTTATTTATCAACAAATACAAAGATAAGTACAATAATAACCATATTATTTTAACAGGGCCATAAAAACAGGAAAAAAAATATCAAAGCCACACTGCATTGTTTGCAAACACGGTTCGTGCGTCGACGAGAAGATTCCAAAGGTAATATTCAAGATAAACCCTGGATACCCAGGAAGAATTACAAGGAGTATTACAAAGATTCTAGGCCATATTAATGAGTTTGTTCTCCTGGAAGTTTACAGATGTATGCCTCTTCTAGGTGATGAGGAAAAGATACCAAACTGGGACATACATATTGTGCGATATGCTGTTGTTTTCAGGACCAAACAATAATATTTCTGGGTAATTGGCAAGCAATCAATTAAAATGTTATAAATAGTTCATTTTCCAAATTTAATATCCTGAAATTCTAATTATAATTGAAACTATCAAAGATCTATTTATAGTGACATTTTCAATTTTTTTTTTTATTGCTTTGAATAACTTTAAATAGATTCAATAAAACAACCTGGGTCCTAACCATGAACTCTTATTACGATTCAGTTTAGGACCAAAAATGTATCGTTGTGAGACAGCACTACATTAAGTATATTTCCTATCCCACTTCTTTGTCCTCACGAACCTATACTGATCTGTAATAAGAGTTCATGGTAAGACCCCTGTTCTATTATATCATGGACAATAATTGTAGAAGACTGCTAATCGCTATACAAGACAGTGGGGTATTTAGTACCTATTGGTACCTATACCAGATGTCACAATGAGTACCAAATAGCTATTTTGTAACTGCAATTTATGAAAGTTACCCTAATTTCGATTGCATCATAAGCTGGCGATGATCGCCATAAATTTTATATCATTCTTGTAAAACTGACACTGGCACAAGCCTAGTGGCCGCCATATAGGAAATAATAATACTCTAATTTCTAATGATAAACAAATCAACTAGATGGTGCTTATTGCACTGATTTTTGTGGATAGTGCTAGCTACTTCATTTTAAATTAGCGCCATATACCCGTATTAGGAAGCGTTTATTTGTAAAGTAGTTTGTAACACACAATGCCATCTATTGATATGCATATTTGTCAAAGTTCTGAAAATAATTTATATTCATGATCAATATCGATGCCCTACTTTCTCAAACTCGTGTCTTATACAGAGTGATTAATCAGGAGATGGCAAACAACAAAAAAAATTATTTATTTTAACTTTCTTATCAAGGGTGTAATTTTAATGATTACTTAAAGAATAGGTAAAACCCAGTGTATGAATATGACGGAAATGTGATGTGAAATCAGACTGCAAAATTTGTATATGCAATCCATTTTGCATTTCAGTAACTTTGTGTTTTAAGATATGAGTGTGAGAAAGTAAGACAATGATATTTGAATATTACAAGGATAAAAAGTAACTTCGTATATTTCATATCAAAGAGGAACTAACTTATATCCACGGCTATTTGCATAACATAAATTACTTCCAGGCTATTGAACAGCACCATCTAGATATGAGTTGGGTTTTTGACCTTTTTCAGAGTTACGATCTGTAGTATGGAGATTAGCAGTCATCTGGAACTATGGGTCCATGGATATATGAAATATCGTAAGAACATTAACAAGTACACATCATTCTTAGCAACACTAGTAGACATAACTTACATGTAAATTATAAGATAGAACATGAAATTCTAATTCGAGCTTTAGCACTAGTTTCTATCGAAATTGTAAGTTTCACTCATTTGTTATATTCTTAAAAATTAAACTATATTTCCAACAACAGAGAGTACATAATTGCTATTGTAGGCATATGACGTAATCATTTATTAACAATATTTATAAAATATGACTTGTCTAGTAATAAGATTTACAAGTGTTACACTGCCAAATATTTATGTGACTCTTTGTTATTAGATGTTTTAGTGTTTTATTAACTATACAGTGTGTTTTTTTAACTGGGACAGTATGGAGAAATCTGAAACCATAGCAGATACAAGGAAACCGTCTTAGGAACTGTTAAGTCTTTTTTGTGAAAACAATTTTGGCGGTCAATTTATTAGTCAAGTTGTCCTTATAAATGAATAAAATTGATTAATTTTTTTTAGTGCTGCTTGACTCACTTACGTGTAAGGATCAGTTCATTGTATGAGACGAAAAAATCGTGACAGCAGAAGTTGGTCAAATATCATAAAATGTGTAAAAAATTTTTGAATGCTGATATACTCAGTTTTCTAAAAGAATGATGTCATTGTATTGGAAGAAAAGAATCGGGACTGCAGAAGTAGATCAAATTTAGTAAAATTAATATCAATAATGAGTAGTAAGAATAATGAATAACATTTTGTGTGAAACATTTTTTTTAATCAATTTGATCAACTTCTGCTGTTCCGAATTTTCTTCGAATAAAATCTACTTGACTCAGTACGTCAAATAATAATTATATAAAGCTATAAAATCCTTGTTGTATTTGAATTTCAAATTAGATCCGTGCACAGAACAGTTTATGTGCGCCACTAAATATGCATGCAACGATGATTTTCATGTCATTACATGTAGTCTACATTTCATGTAGTCAACGCTCGGTACTCGATCCGGCAAACCAAGCATGTTTGCAGGATGCGGCCCGCGCCGCCCGACTCTCGACTATATAGTTTGTAAAACTGTGCTATGGCCGTGATTTTCAATGTTATATTAACTTAAAAAAGCTACAATTGTATGCGCTAGTATACAAGCTATTGGATTAAGCAATAGTTCCTATAGAGTTAATTCAATGTTAAATTTTATTATTTTCTTTATAGATCTTTTCGTTTTAATGTGGAGACAGTGTTTACATAGAGTTGAGGCACTGTTTTGTGCAATTCTCAGATATATTATTGTTTTCGTTTTAAGAAAAAAGTACATATTATATGTTTAATGTTCCTATAAGTGCTAAGTTTATTCATGCTTCTACACTATTCGACTAGGGTTAGCTAGCGAAAATGTGAAAACTAGTATATCTTCTTGTTTTTCTACAAAAGTGCCCTTTTATACACCGTTACGTGTTCCTAATTTTTTTTAATTTAGATTAGAATTTAAGTAAACAAGTAACAATTATTCAACTGTACTATCAGAGCTGGGCGTGTTCTGTCGTTGCCAACATTGTACATCAGAATTGAAAAAATGGATCCTTAACTCGGGCACACGCGTATCTCATAACGATAAATTCGATGTTGAAGTAGTTAAACGCATAATACACTGCCCGTTTTCAATGGCCCTTCTTTAGGGCAGCTGTTATTAACTTATATACATATAAGTCGCCCTTGTTAAGGACACTGACTACCTAACTTTTAAGAAATATAATTTGAAACTAGCTATACTTCATTTCAATCCATTTTAAACAAACAAGTCACTGACCCGACCATAGACGGATGAAATTTTCGATTACAAAAACATAGATTGAATAAATCGAATGTTTTTCGTACAGCACTATGCAACCATAGACAAGTCATAGAAGTATAGATGAAAAATAACCTCACTTTTGGACTACCATTTTTCAAATACGATTTTACGATGCTAATTAAATGAATATTGTTGGAAAAAGTGATAAGATGTCAAGCCGAAACTAACACTAGTTATTCAATTTATTGACTAATTGCTTTAGAATTTTAACCAAACAGGTTTGTTTACTTTTTGTTTAAAATTGATTGGAACAGACTTATGCATCAGTGCATCTACCATGAGATTACAGTGACAATTATCGCTAGTGACCGCGTAAAAATGTTTGTATACAAAATGTTGTTTATTGTGACCGTTAGAGGCGCCATACGAAATTATGAAGTAATTTACATGGTCGCTAGCGACAACTGTCACAGTAAACTCATGGTAGATGCACTGGTAACTGTATTTTTGACATTTGTTTATAGTATATAAATTAATTGCAAATTAGTAAAATTGGGAAAATGTCAAAA